TTTTTTTTTCTTTGTATTTTTAGTTCAAACAGTTTGTAATGATTATTTATGTGGTACAAATAATACTTGTCAAGATTCGGAACTTAGCTCTAATGGATATATTTGTATATGTAATAGTACGACAATTTTTAATGGAACAACATGTATTCGTATGTAATCTTTTTTTTGTAGTATTATTTTGAATTAAGTAATTATTTTGTTACAGAAAAGAATATTTGTGATAATGTATCTGGATATTCAAATGGTATATTACCGTGTACTGGTCAATTTCAAGTAGCAATTGATTCAGGAAATGAATGTCTATGTCAATGTCGAGATGGTTTTATAAATTCATCTGGTGTTTGTATCAGTGCTACTAGTTAGTATTTTAGAGGAGAAGAAAAATAAGAAAATTTCTTTGTTTTTTCTTTTAATGAATAGGCGTAGGAACGATTGTATGTGATAATACAACAAATATTTGTTATAATACATCAGCACCAACAGATTTTTTCTGTCTATTTCGAACCCAAACTTATAATAGTAACACAAATACATGTCAAAGTATATATATCTAGAATATTTTATGTATCAATCTAAATATGATATTTTTTCTCTAGGTAGTTTTTGTGTAGACTATTGTCAAAATGGTAATTGTTCATATAATGACAAAGGTTATACTTGTTCTTGTCCACCAGGAACATCACTTAATTATGCATTAAATTGTGCTGGTAAATATAAACATATTTATTTTAAATAGACAATTTTTTCTTAATAATATTTGATTTAGCTTGTGCAAATGGTTTAGCTGGTCCTAATTGTTCATTAGTATGTAATTGTGAATTTGGAGAATGTAATATTAATGCAACAAGTGAAGCAAATAAATGTACATGTTCAGCTGGTTACACAGGCTCTCAATGTGATCAATATATTAACTATTGTGATCCAGGTAAATATATTAAATATATTATTTTTGATTTAGAAAATTCTTTTTTAGTCAGTAATAGTTGTAATGTAAATGCAACGAATCGTGTATGTAAAATTGCACCAACGAATACTGATGTAACTAGTACACGTGCGGGTTATAGTTGTATTTGTCAAAGTGGATATCAAAGTATAGCAAATAGTGATGTTTGTCAAGGTAGAATTATTCGGAAAAAAAAATAGATAATTATATATTTTGTTATATATAGATATTAATGAATGTACTTTGAAATCTACACAAGAAAATGTTTGTCCACAATCAACAACAATATGTGTAAATACAATTGGTTCATATTATTGTGCTTGTCTTTCTGGTTATACAAAAGCTAATCTAACAGTAATTAAAAAAATATATATATATATATTTTCATTTGAAATATAATTTTTATTTTAAAAGGATACAAATGCTTGCGTTGATATAGATGAATGTTCTACTAATTCTTCGACATGTTCATTATATTCAAATTCTTATTGTGTTAATCTTACACCACTTTATGAATGTCGTTGTAATTTTGGTTATGCACCCAATGGTAAGATTTGTTTTTTTTTCGTATAATAAATTAAATTATATGAGATTTATTTCAGGTGATTATAATCAAGCTTATTCTGCTCTACAACCTATTCAAACTTGTCAAATTTATGATCAATGTGCTGCTAATCGTATTGATTGTGGTGGAGGAATATGTAATAATACTATAACTGGAAGTTCTTCATCAGCTGCTTGTTATTGTGCTAATTCATTAGTACTTATTTCAATATCAACAGGCGTATACGATTGTATTTGTCCATCGGATACACATTATTATAGTGGAGGAGTTTGTATATCTCGTACTGATGCTGGACAAGGTCTTTCGGGTGAATCAAAATTTGTCATATCAATTAATTGTGAAAATCAATCTATGATATTAAATAATGTATGTAGTTTATTCTTATAGAATAATTTATTCTTAATTCTATTCTTTTTCAATAGATTTTACAACAATTTAATACATCATTTAAATATCCCTATAATTTAACGGTAGTGAATAGTACACTTGGGTATGTGAAAAATTCATAAAATAGAAATTTTGAAAATTTTATTTTTTAATTTAGTTGTGATGAATCTGGTAATATTGATGTAACATTGGATTTTAATACTGATAATAATATAACCACACAAAATACTCTTTTCCAAGTACTTGCTAATATTACAGGAAATTTAAAACTTAATCTTTTAACAATTGGTAAATGTAATAATCTAACAAGTAAATATATATATTCATTTGTATTTCATATTTATAAATTTTTTCTAAAAATTTAGCATTGGTAACTAATGTTACATCATGTTATCTTTTTGATCTATGTGATCTTTGTGGAAGTGATCCAGAACGTGGTGTATGTACATCAGACACTGGCGTCGGTCAATGTAAATGTTTTGTGAATACAAATGATCCATCGGAACCATATACAGGTGAATTTTGTATACCAACATCTTCAGAAACAACATTAGCTACTTCTGCATCAACAACATGGACGCCAATTGTTGTTGGTGTATTAGCTGGTCTTGCTGGTCTATTCTGTGCTATAACATGTTGTTTATTAACTGTTGCTTTTTGGCGTCGTCGAAGACGACATCCATTAAATGGGTAAGTTGAATTTTTATTTTAATAATAAAAAACGAGAAATATTAAATAGAGATGATTTACGTATTCGCCGTATATGGAATTTACCACGTGCACAAGTACCTCAAGAAGTAACAGCTTCAAATGTTCACACATATATACAAAATATACCATCAATAAGCTCGACAGCAAGTGTACCAGAAAATGAAACAATAAGTAGTGATCGTTCAACATATCGTGCAACTTACGATCATAATAATATTCATGGAACTGTAAGTAGTAATTTTTTTAAAGAACTTGATCAACATATGGGTGCAAAATTACGTGCAACAATAACAAGACCTGATACAACTGCTATGTTATCAAGTTTACCAACTCCAATACAAGAATCACCATCATCATCATCAATAACAACAACAACATCATCAAATAATGATGATCCTATTTATGATCTCGAGGCTGATATCTTTAATGATGATGATGATATTGATAGATCATTTCATGATCCAGTCGATGATCTTATTGACGATAATGAAATGCTTGAAGCATATAATCCAAATTTAAAAATACCACGTCCACTTTATAGTTCACAACCATCAGGTCTTTTTTCATGTAAGTTTATTATTTATTTTTTCTTCTTTAAATTTTATCTATTTTATTTAGTATCTTAATCAACGTGTTGATCACTTTTCAATCAAACGAACTATACATTTGTACTTTTTTTTGTGATATATTTCACTGGTGATTTTTTTCGTTTTCTAAACACACATCTATGTGTTCTGTATGCTTTTTGTTTTTCTTTTCGAACGAATTATATATATATATTCTTTATTCCCTGTGAATTAAATATCTTCCGCGTTTTTTTGTTTGCTTTTCATTATAATGAATAAAATATAAATCAAGAAGAAAAAATTATTTATTATGAAGAAGATAATACATATCATTCCATTTTAATTCATTTTTTAAATTATCTATTGTTGTTTTATCATCAATAACAATACATTCAATATTACCAATTATTTCAGCAAAATCACGTATATATTCAGTTGTTATTGATCGACTATAACATGTATGATGTGCACCACCAGCTAAAATCCAAGCTGTACATGCTGTTCTCATATCCGGTTTAGGTTTCCAAATAACACGTGCAACAGGTAAATTAGGTAAAGAATCTAATGGTTCAATAGCATCAACTTCATTGATTAATAAACGAAATCGATTACCCATATCAATTAATGATAGATTTATAGCTGAACCAGCATCAGAATTAAATACAAGTCGTACAGGATCTTCTTTACCACCAATACCTAATGGATGAATTTCACATGATGGTTTCTGTTTTGTTGAAGCAATACTTTCACATATTTCAAGCATATGTGCACCAAGTACCATTTCATTATCTGTTTCTAAATGATATGTATAATCTTCCATAAAAGAATTACCACCATTTTTTAAACCAATACTCATAACTTTAAGAGCACGAACAATCGTAGCAGTTTTCCAATCACCTTCAGCACCAAATCCATAACCATCTTTCATTAATCGTTGAACAGCAATACCTGGTAATTGTCGAAGTCCATCTAAATCCTAAAAAAAAGTTTTTTTTTCAAACTATTATAAAGAAAAGAAAAGATTTACTTCGAATGTATCAGTAAAACCTTTATAAGTTCCTTTTTCAAGAAATTTTCGAAGGCCAAGTTCAATTTTAGCTGCTTCTCGTAATGATTGATTTTTTTCTTTTTTTAATTCATCAACTATATCATATTGTTCTTCATATTCTTTACATAATTTATCAATATCATTTTCATTAATTTGATCAATTTCAAATTTTAAATCATTTATACTATATGTATTAACTGAATAACCAAATTTAAGTTCAGCTTCAACTTTATCACCTTCTGTAACTGATACATCACGCATATTATCACCAAAACGTACAAAACGTGCACCTTGCCAATCAGCATACGCGCATGTTGCCCGCATCCATATACTTAATTGTTCTCTTACACGTTTTTCTTCCCAATGACCTGTTATAACTTTTCGATTAATTCTCATACGTGAACATATATGCCCAAATTCTCTATCACCATGAGCACTTTGATTTAAATTCATAAAATCCATATCAATTGTTTTCCATGGTATATCACGATTAAATTGTGTATGTAAATGAACAAATGGTTTATGAAGAATTTTTAAACCATTTATCCACATTTTTGCTGGTGAAAATGTATGCATCCATAAAATAAGACCAATACATTTTTTATCTATATTTGCCATTTGACATAATTCAAATATTTCTATTGCTGATTTAAGTACAGGTTTAAATATAATCGATACAGGTATTTGTTTATCTTGATCTAAACTTGTAGCTATTTGTAATGAATGTTCATCAACTTGATGTAATACTGCTGTACCATAAAGATTTTGTGAACCTGTAACAAACCATATTTGAAATTGTTTTAAATCGGGTAATACCATATTGGTTTATTTAATAGAAGAATGTGGTGAAAAATATTTTGTATAAATATATATATTCTTATCAATTTATTTTAAATAGAATGAATAGATAAGAATGAAGTAATATGAACTATTGATTGTCTTATCAATAATTAAATGAAAAAAAGATCTATTTTCATTTTGTTTATAAAATACAATCGTCTTCAGTGAAAAAACAAAAAAATCGATTTTGATTATCCCATAAAAGCCGAAGCGATGTTTATTAAAAAAATACTTTCTTTGAAAGAATTTATTATTCCGCCAGACAGTCACGCAAAATTGATTTCTTTTTCTTTTTATGATCCGTCAAGTCGTCTTAATTGAGGAAAACATTGGATCTTGTATTACGTGTTTTATTGAACTTATCACAATGTCCACAGAAGTGGACGTTCGACTTTTAAGGGTTCATATTTCTTTGTTTTATATTAAATTATGATTTTCGAAAAAATAAAAGAATTAATTAAGATAACATTTATGTTCATTAGATATTTCTAAAGATTAAAATCCTTTAATGGATATATATATATTTTTGTAATCATTTGCGTTTGGTATTAAGATAATAGTTTCGTCTTTTTTTAGAAGTATTCATTTGATCTACTGTAATAAATATATTAATAAGATAAGAAAGCCAGGTATCTTTGTATTTATTATATTGTTAATCTAAATATGCACAAGATAAATGAATGGATCTTATAATAAAGAAAATTGTAAGTTTATATTCTCGTTGTCTTGCCTAATTGTTCAATAGACTAGAACAACAAAGTTATTCGTTCTTCCATATTGACTTGTAACCAGCGGCCATCAGAAGATTTTTTCATGCAAAAGACAATCATAAAGAGTTATTATTTTCATTCTATTTGATAACGAATATTCAATGATCAATCATTCAACCGAATGAACACTTCAAATCTATAATAAACTTCTTTTCAATTTTCATATTTAATTTAACATTATATAATTGATCCAATATTTTAAATTTAAAAAAAAAAGACACTGACTTTTTAAATAGTATTAGAAGTTCTATTTTGTAATAATCGATTATATTACGATAGAATTAACATTATAAATCGTATTTTCGTTGTTTCGATTTTTTAATATCACATATCCGATACATAATATTGATCTTTGAAACATTTGATAATAAACGAAACTGTTTAAATATTAACAAAGAATTAAGTTTCTTAAATTATAAATGTTGTCATTTTTTGTTAAATATTCACATATACAATCGTCTAATCGATTGCCTTTTTTTTCTTCTTCTTCGCTTATTATTATTTGCAAATTTTTAGAGATAAGAAAAATTTTGATTTCTATTACAAATTTTGTATAACATAATGAAAGCAAAAAAACATATTGATATCAAATATAATACGTTTCATCTGATCGCTATTAATGTTTATCTTTACTCATAAGCGAAAATAGGGCATATAAATATATGAGTATAGTTTCATTTCTAATTTGCAAATGTAATAGATCAAGTGCAAATATCTGAATGAGTTTTTTGTTAGTTAGTTTAGTTATCGTCTTCATTTTCATTTTAAATGTTTGAAAGCTCAAGGACATTATTTAATGACATATTGACATATATACATATCCTGACAATATGAAAAATTTGTTCGTATATAAAAAGAAAAGGATATGATCCACCCACTGATATACTGTCTCTCAAGGATTTATGATAAAACATGTTTTAAGATTTCAGTTCTTTCTTTTTTTGCTTTTTTTCCTGATCATATATACACTTATTCATTGTACTCCCCCTTCTTGAAAATTGTTTTTCGAGTGGACTAAGTGACTGAGTGAGTAACTGGTTCATTTGTTCATTTATATGACATGGAGTCTTTTTCAACTTGTCGAAAATTGAACTAGAAGGCAAACGTGTGTACATACATAAGTTTATATACATAATGCTATATACATAGAAGTTACAAAAATGAAAAAAAAGAAAGAAAGAAAGATGAAATGAGTTTAAATGAACTGGACAAGACCAAGTCTGATAATTGTTCAATCGACTTTTATATTTACATAATAGTTAAATAATCTTCAATATTTATAAAAACTTTCTAATGTTGTTCGTCGAATGTAGTATTTTCATGATGTAAAGTGTAATTCATTAAATCATGATTGAATTAATATGCGAGACAAAACAATATTTGATTATGATCTTTTTTTCATCTCAACAGTTGTATTCATGATTGTGATATTAATAAAACTAATATTATTAAATGGATTTGAGATTATTCTTATGACACTTTTACTCTAAGACCCTCGTAAATCGATGTGAAATTGATAGTAGTAATGAAAACAAAATGTTTGTGGGAAAAAACTTCTTTTTTGTCATATATTGATATCGAATTTATGAGGAAGTATGCAACAAATCATGTTTCTATGTCTCCATTCAATCATTATTATAGAGATTATATATTAAAAAAAAGGAGAGAGTAGTATAATCATTCGTTTTGGTTTTCGATGCAATCTTCAACGTGCTAATTTTTGTTCACAGTATAAAAAGACTGAACAATGAGCAACCTATACATACTGACATAACATCATTTGCACATACAGGTACACTCTTGTGTGCAAATCAATCGTAGAAGAGAATTAGTTGCTACAAAAGGAAGAAATTTTTTTCTTCTTTCTTCTGTCTTTCTCTCTCTGTTCTTTTTATTCTCATCTTTAAGTCACCCACAACAATTTGTATTTTGATCTCTCTCTCCCTCTCTCTCTCTATCTGACTTATTCCAGATTTTACGTTCGTCTATTTTTATTTTCTTTTATTCTTGCGGTAATTTGTATGTTTCATATATATTATTATAGTTAATTTTATTAAATCGATTGTTTATTATTTTTACTTATTATTAGATCATGCATATAAACTATAGAATCTTTACAAAAAACTTCCTGAGAAATATCTGGCTATTATTTTTCATTACGATTACAATCTTAACATGTTCTGTAAAAGGTAAAAAGTATAATAGTTACATTTAACCCTAAAATAACTACAAATGTTTTTTTCAGGTACAAATTCAGATACTGATGAATGGTCAATGGAATATAATCAACATCATGGTTCTAGCTTAACAGGAACAATACATGAATTAGCATCTATAGATGATAGGGATGATGTCGATATACATTTTCCAGCATCATTTGATAGTTATAATTTTGAATATCCATTAATTGAAGGTTACCGTTTAGCAAACTCTCAAAGCCTTATTTTATCATCAACTGTACCAAATTCTGATGCAGAATTACTTGAACGTCATAAACGTGATATACCTTGGGCTTTTGCTGCATCTCAAGACTTGGTTATGGATGGCAGTGGCACTGTCACAGAAGAAGAGAGTAAGTTCAATAGAGATTAATTATTGTTCTATATTTATGTATAGGTACGCAAGAAACTGTAACAAATACACCACAATCAACAATAACTGTACAGTTAAATTTAAACGAGACTACTCCTACTTCTACTGTCATCACCACAGCTGAAGCAACAGCCGGTTTGTATTCGAAAAAATATTGTAGAAATTACGAGTATGATTTCATTACAACTTTGATACATGTCAAAGTATTCGAATAGTGGGTAGTAGTTGTCATTGAATCAAGCAGATTTTCAAATTAAACAACATTAATAGTAATTGATACGATAACATTGAATGAGAGTGTATACACACACAAAACTATATAAATCCTTGTAAAATTGAAGTATATAATGTGAGCTTCTTCTAATATAAGAGTTTTGCCCTCTACTATAATCCAGTCAAAAACTGTTTATTTAATATTAATTGAACAATATCAATCATCATACGTGTATTTAGTGAATATAGTTAAATTATAGTAGGCATAATGTTTACATTAAATCTTTATAAGTCTTATCAAAATTTTATTTTCTTAATTTTTCTTGATAGATACTGGAGTTGTAAGTAGTACAGAGAGTCCTACAACAGCCACAGGAAGTTCTTCGGTATCATCGACTACTACAAGTACTTCCTCTACTACCATAACACTACAAACAAGTGAAGCAATATTGAATACTACTACCACCACAATATCTACAAGTTCAACAACAACAACAACAACTACTACGACGATGACTACTACAACAACCACCGGATCAATAAGTAATAATTACTAACATTACCCTAATTTTCTATGTGATATAAAAATCTTTTTGATAGCATGTGGATGGAGCAATTGGATACCATTGACTGATTGTACACCAGAATGTGGAATAGCCTATCGAACTGAAAAGCGATCATGTATTGATTACACCACTGGTATTTCTTGTGACAGCTTTTCCTGTGGAGGTGGTGATGAAACACAAAATGTAACATGTTCTTTTTCTCCACCATGTGAAAGTGAGTTTTTTCCTTTGACTATTTGAAGCTATAGAAATATTATCTCTAGCACTTACTGTTACTCCACAAACTTCTATTCGAGATTCAACTGTCAGAATTATTCCTTATACATTACCTGATCGAATGAATTTCTTTCAACAAACATATCGTCGAATTTGGGTATAGTTATTCATATTTCGAAAAATTAATTCAAAATTTTGTTTATTTTAGATATCAAACAAAGGTTATATTACATTTGATACTCCATTCTATGGTCGAACAATGACAACATCAGGTTTTGAACGAATACAAAAACAAGCAATCGTCGCACCATTCTGGACAGATTTAGTTTATGATAATGTAAGAATATAATTGTTTGTTTCTAATCAAACAAAAACTCATTATTTAGACATCATCAAGTATGACAATAAACTGGTATAATTCGATAGATTCAAATACACGTGCTATAAATAATTATTCTGATATTATTCAATCAACAATTAATTCAGCTTGTCCAATATCATTTTGTTCAAATCAATTTCTAGCAGTACGAGTTGTTCGAATCACTTGGAATAATCTTATTTATGAATTACCACATACGAATCAATCTATAGTAAGGATTATTTTCTATTTATTTATTAAGCATTATTTTCTTTTTTTTATCTCTACAATAGAATCTATCATTTTCAGCATATCTTATCAATACATACGATCAATCACAATATAGTTATCCACAACTTCGATCTTATTTTACATTTGACTATAGTAATCTTCCAACTAATCTTTATTATCTTAGACCTTTTATTGGTATGTAATTTATCAAAGATGGAAATATATAAATATTTCTGTATAGGTTATCGTGGAAAAACAAATGAAACGCTTAAAGTTTTTAATGATCCAAGATATTATCAAAATGCTGCATTTCTTGGTATTTCCTATTCTATACATATATTTATCAATATACTTCTCTTTTCAGTTGATAGTCCTCGAAGAAAAAGTTTTTATATTGGTAGTCGATTTTTACCTCAATGTGAAGTAATTTATCTACAAGAAACACAAAAAAATATGTTAAATCCTGGACAAAATTTAAATGATATAATGTGTGTAATCAATTAGATATTTTAGTTTAGTCGAATTATTTATTTATATTTAGAAAGAATCCTCGATTTCCATGTCCATGTACCCTAAGACAAGTACAAGTTGATGGACGTTTTAATCGTTTATTTAGTGAAACATACTATGAAATAGCACAAAATTTAGTTTGTTATGGACCTATGATAAATAATTGGATTCATATTGGTCGAACTTCACAATTGCTCAAATCACAAGTAAATTCATATAAAACATAAATTTCTCTATCTAATATCATTTTTTTCTCCTTTATCAGACATGTTGCTATCATCGATATAATCAAGGTTTAATTACATCAGGTTATCTTGCTGGTTCAGTTCTATCCGATTCGAATATTCTTTTTCAACGACATTCATCGCAAAGGAGAATCCAATTTTAGTAAGCTTCTTGTTTTTTTCCTTTTTAATAATTTCTATTAAAATTTAGTGATCAATGTTGTTCACCATCGAATATAAATGGCATTCCTAATTGGGATACATGTCGTTTATATTATCAACTTCATCCACCAAGTAGTTGTACAGGATATCGATCTCCAACACAAGGTAAACAACTATACATGTATATGAATATATAATAGAATAATTATTTGATTTAGTAAGTGGTGTCGGTGATCCACATGTGACTACAATTGATAATGGTCAATATACATGTCATATTCAAGGTGTTTATATATTTTCAAGAACAAATCAAATAGCTGAACGTCAAGCAAATATTAATCTAGATAACAATTTAGCTGATAGTAATTTGATATATCCTGATGATTTATTTCGGATTCATGTTCGTTCAGTATTAGTGGCACCAGCTTTATCTTATATTGAACGAAACCATGGATATGGTTCAGTATTTTCAAGTTACACTATATCGGCACTCAATTATAATTTTACGATCATCAATAATAATGGCAAATTTGGTATGAAAATATATAAGATTAATTATAAATAGACTATCGATAATGTTATTATAGGTTGTACAATAAATAATTTAATACTGACAAATACATTGGCAAATAATCTAGATTATGATTATACAAATAAGAATGATACAACCGATACAAATCAATATATTTATCGAATACAACAATCAGCTCGATTGGAAATGAATAAAACAATACCTCAATTAACATTAGCTCTTTGGTCTGGTAAGTATATTTTGTTTTTGCGATGAATGAAATTCTTATTGTATTCAGGAGTTACGATTCGATGTGAAATTATTGGTGAAAATCTTGAATGTACTTTATCATTACCAGAAAAATTTCGAACATTTATCGAAGGTCTAGCGGGTAATTTCAATAAAAATCCTAGTGATGATTTATTTAATCGAGACACAAATACAATTGTTCCCATCACATCTTCATCAAATCGAACAACACTAGATAATGATATTGATGTTCTTAATGCTTGTCGATCTTGTAAATTGATTAAAATCAAAACAATAAATCGTATCTATGAAAACTTTTTATTTTAGGGAGAGCATATACTACCGATACAACACCTGATATTAGTCGTCCTATTATGCCTACAAAGCTTTATAATTGGTATCGTAGTAATGAATCTAGTGTCTTTTCAAGTTTATATCCACAAATGAATGAAACTCTTGATGAAACATGTTCAAATAATTTTGAATGCATTCATGATTATCTTATTCGAGTAAATTCTTTTACAAGTAAAGCAACCGCTTCTGGATTAAAATTAATTCAAGAATCAAGAATTATTTTTAGTAGGAATTTATAATTTTAAATTAAATTTTTTTTTGCATTAATTTAAAATTTAGCTGAAATGCCACCGATAGATAATTTAACATTGCCTATCCAAATTATTTTACCAATAAATCAAACGGATCGTGATTACCGATTAGGAATTAATATTACGCCAAATGGCGCAACAAGTGTAAATAATGTCACTGCTATTATTTATCCACAAAATAGAACGCAAAATATTGCTACTTATGGTTCAACTATTATAATTCCAATACCAAACGATGCAATAAATTTCGTTGACGTTTTGTAAGTATTTTCAATTCTCGAGAGAAATGAATTATCAATTAATTTCATCACAAGAGATTTGTAAATGTATCTTGAGACAGGCGTATTATAAAAGATGAATTAAACGTGCCTAGATTATGGAAGACATTGAGTTAGTCTTTCATTGACTATAGAGATGAAAATACGATCTAATAAACTACTAAATAATTATATTGAATCGATAATTCTAGACTATCAATTAAATATGGAACAAGTTCTACATCAGAAAAATATTTGGATATTATTGCTTGTTTGTGCACAAATGGTGGCACATGTAATTTTCAACAAACTAATCCAATAGGTTCTCATTATCAAATTAGTTCATGTGATTGTCCACCACAATATGATGGTATGTTTTATAAATACAAATGAATTTTTTGTATATTGAATTATTATTATTGTTCAGGTGATTTATGTGAATTGGAATACAATGGATGTGAATCTGGTAGTGCATGTGCAGATGAGTGGGATGTTGGAACAACATGTGTTCCATTATCTGCTCCTGAACAAGTAATACAAGAACGTTCTTATTATTGTAATGGAACTTGTAAAGATGGATTTAATTCAACAGATGGTTATACTTGTGATAGTAAAAACTTGTAAACATATATATATATAAATCATGCAAATTTACTTTGTTTAGATATTGATGAATGTGAAGTAGATCCATTAATATGTGGAAATGGTATTTGTATAGATATGATTGGATCATATTTATGTAATTGTTCATTCGGTTATCGATTTGATAATCAAACATGTATTGGTAAGATTTTTATATTTAAATCTTAGAAATAAATAAGAATAATTTATATAGATATCAACGAATGTATTGAACCAAATATCGACGGTAGTTTTCCTCGTCGTTGTAACGATACTGACATTTGTATAAATACAAACGGTAGTAATCGATGTGAATGTAGTTCAATTTTTAATACAACTGGTAATTGTACTTGTATGTATAATTGATTATTATCGATGTAAATGATACATAGATTTATTTGTTAGATGATGAAAGTCTATGTGATAATAACACTTGTAAAGATAATGATACACTTCTATGTTTACATGGAACAATTAATGTGAATGATAGTTGTATTCGTAAGTAGATTTGATATTAATAAAAACATTTATAAATAATAATTCTAGCTTGGTGTCATTCTACATGTCCTGAATTTTGTGAATTAATAAATAAAAATTATCAATGTAATTGTCAAAAATATCCTGGTTTTGAATATTCTGATGATGGAAAACAATGTCTTCGTAAGACAGACATCGTATTTTTTTATTTTTGTTGTCTAATCATATTTATTTATCTAAAGAATGTCGTGGTCCAAATTATGGTATTAATTGCTCTCAATCATGTGAATGTATTTATGGTAGATGTAATAAAAATGCAACGAATCAAAATGATAGTTGTACTTGTGATGATGGATATCAATTACCATATTGTAATCGAATTATTAATGCCTGCGGTAAGATAATCAAATAATCAAAAGACATATTTTTTGTTATTCTAATTTTAGAAAGTAATAGTTCATGTAATATTATTAGTGAAGATTGTGAAACAGATACGAATACTCGAAAAGCTGTATGTAGTTGTAAAAGTGGTTATAAAATTGATAATACAACTAATAGTTGTACAGGTATATATTAAATATTTTATTGAATTATTTTGTCATATATAAATATAGATATTAATGAATGTGATATTGAATCTAATTGTGATGATAAAACTTCATATTGTACGAATACTATTGGAAGTTATAATTGTACTTGTAAAAATGGTTATACGGTTAGAGAGAAAAAAACTATTGTTAAAGTATATAGAGTTTATTATTTAGCCTGCCAGTAATTCATGTATAGATATTAATGAATGTGAAACATCAACAAGTTGTGCAAATTATATGAATACAGATTGTATTAATATGCCAGGTTCGTATGAATGTCGATGTAAATTTGGTTATTCAATAAATGGTATGATTATGATAATAAATATTCTTAATTAATTAATGTCCATTGAAATTTATTTAAGGTGATAAAGAAACATTAATGCAGAATGTGTTAAATACAACTGGTTCTTGTTTAATAACAGATTATACAGTAGATTGTCAAAATACTTGTATAAATCTAGCTTCATGTAATTCAACAACAGGACGATGTACATGTCCAATATCTACATTGGAACTTGTTGATTTATCCGATTCTAAAGAAACATGTCAATGTCCTGGTTATCCATTTGTTAATTATACAACTGGAGTTTGTGATTCATCACTTGGTAAAATGAATCTTTCTTCTATATCATATCATTCTATTTATTATATATAGCTTCAACATGGTTTTTACTTTATTTAAATCCAAAAGCAACGACTCGATCTGTTAGAATTACTTCTCCTGTAATATCAAATATAATATTCGAAGTAAATTTTATGAATAGAAATTATTGAATTCGAATTTTCTTTCTATTAGATATCAAACATATTATCTAAATTGAATAAAACATGTGATGACTCATGTATACAAATAAATAAAACTAGGTAAATAATTAAAATTATCAAAAAAAATTTTTTATCGAAATATATTTCTAGTACATCAGCTGCGACTCTTAAATATTTTATTGGATTAAATATATCATTAAATTCTTCTGAACGCTTTCAACTTGCTAATGATTTTTATCATGATAATATAAGTCTTAATAATGATTATAATATAACAGTACATATAGTTATAAATAATAAAACGAAAGAATTAGGTAAATAAAAATAAAGAATATAATTTATAATAATAATTATTATTGAATATTTAGAAAGATTTACAAGTAGACGAAGACGTTGTGAAGAATGTGAAATTTTGAGTCACGGCAGTTGTATAAGTGAAATTGAAGATTCATGTCGATGTTATACAAACCATGAAGGTTATTTTTGTCGTGAAGCTTCTACAACACCTGATTTAGGTCGAGTAATGTCTGAAGAAAAAAAATGGATTATTATCGTCGGCGTATTAAGTGCAGTAGCTGGTCTTCTTTTAATTATGGCATGTTTTGTATGTATTGTTCGTATTATTTCAACAACTCGTAGTAGATCATCAAGGTAAAAAAATCTTATTTTTTTTAAATATATCTCTAAGACCATTACTGTCTTTTCTAGAAAAACAAGACCATCAATTGGTCATGGATCTTATTATATACCTCGTGCACATGTTCCAACAATGGGTACTGGTGGTCAAGATATATTTAGTTGGGATGGTTTCAGTCTTAGTACAAATGATGAACGATATAATGATACGTCGAATTCTTATCAATCAAGTTCAACAACAACTTATAATCCAACATATCGTATTGGTGAAATGTCTGATGAAGCTGATTTCACATTATTTGATAATCTAGAAAATCTTACATCATTAGCAAAAAGTTCTATACCACGTGGACAAATGATTGGAATGACTGGAACATTAAATAGTTTTCCTCGAGAACAAATAATCGATAATTTAACTGGAACATTTACGGATTCGAATGAACTTGATGAAACTATATTAGTTACAGATATGTTAGAAGATATGACAAAAGATGATTATCGAACAGATGATTTCCTAGAAGCATGTAATCCATATTTAATTATACCAAGAGCATCTATTCGGCCAGAAGTAATAAAATTGTTAAAAAAAGATCTTTTTTATTTTTTTCTCTTTATTTTAGTTCTTCGATAATTCATAAATACAAACATAATGATGTTTTTTTTTGTTTTTCTTTGTAACATATGAAATATGTTTTTTTTGTTAGTTTCATTTGACTGCAGGTACAGTCAAAAACGATTGTTCTTTTATCTTAATATTTTAGTTATATCTATACATATGTTTTTCTTTTTGTATTGATGTTTTTCTTCTTAGTATCCCGAGTGATTATTGACGAAAGAAAAACTGGTATTTAATTCTATGAAAATTCAAGATAGATAATTTTAAACGAAACAGTGAAAATAATTTTTGCTTTATTTATCTAATTCTCCTATCTATTCTTATTTTGGTTTGTTTGGTTTTTTGTATTAGAAATGAATTTTTAATTTTTTTTGTTTATTATTATAAGAAAATATATTCACATTTGGTTTTATAATCACAAATACCGACATAATTGTATTTCAGAAAGTTAATAACCTCTTTTGTTTATCTTTAAACTTCAACAAGATTATTCGATTATATACTAATGTGCAGTATTTTATCCAGGTTTCTTTTTTTGGGTAGACGAATCGAAATTTCAGATGAGCGCCGCTCACCCGTTATATGAAACACTGCAGTATGATTAAAATAAATCGATTATTGTCCAATCTTCCTATTGATTTTGTATGCATGACTACCCATAGCTGTATTGTTCTTCTGTAAGTCTGTTTTTCATCTATATACATGAGTAAACAATCAAAAATCATCACTATCAAACACTTATAAATTTATTTTATGTATGTCAATAACATTAATGTAGAAGTACTGACTTTTAAAGTGCTTGTATAACATATATATATTTTATTTTTAATAAATAAAAGTATATATTACATTTGACAACGATATATTATATATATTTATTTATATGTTTTCAACAAACGGGAACAAGAATAACGTAAAGCCAGGAACAAAAAAAAATGATAATAAACCAGAAACGTATGACTAGTAACAGAGACAGGAACAAAAAATAAATGAACATCGATAGACAAGAAAAGAAAAGATCGTCAATTGAGAAAAAATCATTTGTTCCAAACTTTAATTTTGGCTATTACAACTCATTTTGTTTTTCTTTTGACTTTATCGGAGAAACGCATACAAAGAAGAACAGTATTTATTGGGTTTTTGTTTTCGCACACTGTTCAGCAGAGAGAGAGAGAGAGAGGGATATTGATTGTGCATTAGTATGTATACGATCAAATAATAAGAATACAACAAAGAGAGGGAGAAAAAAAGAATGGGTATGAGTTGTTATTTTTTATCTGAGTACATCAGCATTAAATGGAAATTTTCGTGGACTGCCGGGTGCAGTTGATAATATTTCAGGTGATGATGATGTTGATTTTGTTTGATAATCACCAAAGACAAATCGAAAGCTAAATGTACGAGAAACAAAAGAAGAAATATTCACACAAAGAAATATTACATATTAGCCACTGAAATAAAGCCAATACACAATGGCAACATTACGCGACATAGGCAAGCACATCAATTATAACAGAAAAAAAAAGAATACAACAAAATAATAAATTAATTTTAGAAAAATAGTAGAAAAGAAAAAAGCGACAATAAGAATAGAAATAATTTCATTTTTTTTCGTTATCTCTGAATATATATATATATTCTATTCTGATGGTGGCGGTGAAAGTAACGGAAAATTTTGTTTGTTTGATTTTCGTTGACTACCAAAGAGACTATCAACTGAAAGTCGTCTTGATGTTGAAGCATTTGAATGAATAGATGGTGAAGCACATGCTGAATATGTTTGATTAACAGGTAATGTTAATGGTATTGGTGTCGATGGAATCACGGATGATTCGATGGGTGAATGTTGTTCGAATGGAGATGATGATTTTTTCGACATTGGAAATATGGATCGCAAGCTGAAAACAAATAAATATAACAACAATACAGAAGCATGGGAAGTGCAAATGGCAGTAAATTAAATGCGAAAAAATGTTATGAGTTAAACAAAAACTGAACTATTAGTATTCGATTATGAGTACGTATCTATCGCTTACATATTGACTGCTGGTTTCAAATTTATAGACGAAAATCTGTAAAAACAAAACATGCAGAAATATCCTTGAATGAGAATTTTTTAAACATCAGAAATCATGCATAAGAACAATATATCAACATGCATAAGTCTTGCATTCAATCATGCCAAAAAGCTTACCAAAATGAGGCAACTGCGAAGCAAGCAATAGTAGGAAAGAATAAGCATATTTTTACACTGAAAGAAAATATTACGTACACACAAATATATATATATATATTAGTAACAATTACAAAATATATGTGAATAAATAGCTACGAAAGCGGCTACATTTACGTATATGATATAAAACTTACAATTGTCGAACTTTTGATTCATCACGTTTGTAACCATATAATTTTTCTTCAGGTTCTAATGGAATTGGACCTTCAACAGGTGCATTACTATCATCATCTTCTCTAGAATGAATGAACAAATCGAAATATATATAATGAATGAAATTCTTCTTTTTTGTATTATTTACTGATCTTTAAATAATCGTAATTCTTCTTCAACTTCCATTAATTTTGTTTTTAAATCATTTCGTTCCCATAATACTTGACGTAATTCTTCAAGTGTAAATCTTGGTTGATTTGCTTCAAGTGTTGTTAAATCATTGATTGGATTCTTTTAAAATTGAATAAAATGTTTTTATTATTAAATACTTGAAAAGCAAATTAACTTACTGTTGGTGAATTTGGACTTACGAGTTCGTCACTAACACGATCCTTCATATGATGAATGAAATTTTCTTTTTCTTTAAGTTGAACTTCTAAATCAAATTTTTCAATCATTAATCGTTGGGTTTGATTTGCTGAAAATGTATTTTTTTGACGTAATGTACAATTTACTTTACAAACACGTTCAAGTTGCGCTTGAACCTAAAATATAATTACAAATATTTTTTGTATAAATATAACTTTTCTTAATTTACAGCTTCTATATTAAGTGTTTTTTGTATTAAATCTTTATCTTTTGATTTTATCATACGCTTTAATCTTATATTTTCTTCAGTTAAATTTTTTATACATAAAAGTTCTTCACGAGTAATACCTAATTTAATAAAAGATAGATTAAATAAAAGATAAACATGACATTTAGAATCATACTGATACACTCGGATGGACTGGGTAAATCGGATTTATTATGTAAATCACTATTCCGTTCAAGATCATCACGTAATCGTCGATTTTCATCTTGTAATTTTGATACAAGTGCCATTAAATTATCTGCCTAGAAGTAATCTTATTATTTAGAAAAGATAATTTTGTTTCGAAATCAATAAATATTAACCTCTTTTCGCCATTGTTCTTCAACAAAATCAAGTTCACGATCAAATTTATCACGTAATTCACGTGTTTCATTTTTTTCTGTTTCTAAACGTTCAATACGACTTTTCATTTTAACAAATTCATCTTCATCTTTTTCATTTTTTGCTGCTTGTAATTCAAGTAATTCAAGAATACGAATTACTTTTGGTACAAGATCACGAATAGTTTCTGTTCCATAGGCTAGAATTAAAATAAATGATTAAAATTTTTTTAATAAAACATAAAAATTAACCTTCAATAATACGTTCAAAATCTTTGCCTATTAATGCAGCTTCATCGTACACATCAAGTACGGTTAAACTTGAATATTGTTGTTGTAAAGGTGATAAACACGTCATTTTTCGTATATTATCTATTGATGTCGACGATTCATGATTGTCACTAGTTTGAATGATAAGGTCAGGTAAATGTTCAATTGATGACGATGAGGACAGATCTAAATAAATGATAGTTAATATAGATGACTAGATTAATCAAAATGTACTAGACAAAATGTCTTTAATCTAGTCTTGTGTTATTTTTATATTCATCTCATATTCGATTTTTTGTTCGATCACACTCACGCGTTTCTATATCGATGATGAGTGAAATGTGTCAAACTTAATCCCTTTTTATATACGGTGACACGAATATAAATGTAAAGAAAAAAAATAGAAGAGAGGAAAAAAGGGATCAAAATTCATATTAAGTGGACTTTTTTTATTAGAATGAATAAAAAGAAAACGGAATAAATCGCTTATACTCGATTCTATTTATACAAAATATAACTATACTCATTTTTCATTAATTCTAACGTCAATGTCCTTAACTTATCATATTTTCTACTCTTTTTTTACAGTTTTATATTTATCTTCTATCAGTGAACATATAAGCCTGATGATAAGCTACTGGCTTGAAATAAAACTACGCTAATATTGACACAAAAATGATGACATGACTTCGATGCAAGTGAATGTGTATATACAAGGAAGGGAGAGGGAAAGGGAGAGAGAGGGGAGAGAAAGCGAGGAAAAATAAGAATAAGATGAATGAATAACACGTTCGATTGTCTTGTTCGGCACGCATAGTTCATCGACATCCGATGAGAGTGTGTGGGTGTTTATACTAGAAAGAAGAAGAAGGAGAAGAGAATAAGACCAAAACTATCCATCTATTTATTCAATGAATACTCCAGTGAATTGGGATACTAAAAACAAAGACAGGAAGATAAAAGAGCTATCTTTGTTGAAGCTGAATAAATTTAAACGAGAGAGAGAGAGAAAAATATATATCTCTAAAGAAAAAATTGCCTATAAAATCATTTAAGTATTACTATTGAACGACTAATTCTAATAACATTTACCATATACGTCCAATGTGTTACATGTCACATGAAAATGAATGAATGAATAAAAGAGAAAACTTTGCAATGAATCATAATTTCTTTCCTTTCGTTCGTTTACTAATACAATCGATATGTATAGAAACGAACGAACGAACGAAAAAAAAACAGAAGCTTCTCCTTTCGTACTATTTGGTTGTAAGCAACATCAATCATTTTTAACTTACTATTCTTTACTTTGCTTGTCATAGCTATTTTTAAAAAAAGATAAATACTTATTATTTGAAACAAATGTTTTATATTAAATAGAACACACATGGAGACCTTTAAGTTTTATCATGTCTATATAGATAAAAAAAAACTAACGGCAATCTATTATAGGTATTAATTTGTCTTATATCTGCTGCCATCTATTGAATAATAAATTAAAATTTAAAAAAAACGAAAATAATTTTGAAACTATATAATATTTATAAAAATATTAGATTTTCTTAAATTTATATAATTGATTATATTTTATGATTGGACTAAAATATCTTAGGTATATCTAATGATGATTAAAATATTTATTTAGTTTATCAATAATACGAAAGAGTCATATCATTATTGCAACATTAATCATTTATTAAATCAAACTATGGAAGTTGACGATCTCACTGAAGAACAAAGCAATGCTTTATCTCGCTTTCGAGTATAATTCATGTAATTTAATAATAAATATATTGATATTTTTTGTTGTATTTATCTTTAGGAATTTACACATATTGATTCGGTTGAAACGTGTCGTCAATATTTAGCTGCACATGATTGGGACGTTGAACGTGCAATAGAAACTGCATTAATATCTAATTCTGATTTACCATTAAATACTAATGACGATAATGATGATGATGATGATGATCATAGAATAACAACGGATCAAATACCATCAGCACCACCTATGCCTGAAGCAATTCCAAATCAATATATCCCTCAAAGACCTGTATCAAATACATTAGCTAATGATCATTCTACACAAAATCCTATTTTGTATGAATTTAAATAAAAATAACCTTTTTATAGATTTTTTATTATTTTAGACGTATATTGCACATACCATTATCATTTTTATATGCTTTTTATCGTCAAATTGAACCATTTATACCTTGGCCAGTCATTCATTTTTTTACTTCCTTCCGTAAGAATAAAGAATTAATGAAATTTTTGTCTAATACTGTTTCTCAATTTAGTTCGATCATTATTCTTTGGTGGTAGAACTGTCGATCCAATAACAGAAATTACCGATTATTGTACTTACTTTGATAATCAATATGGAGCAAGACATCCAGCTTTTTATCGCGGAACACTTTCACAAGTGATTTTTATTCATTAGAAAAAATCTTTTTCATTAAAATAAATTATTTTAGGCACTTCGAGATGCACAACGCGAAGTTCGTCTAGTATTTATTTATTTACATGAGAAAAATTCACCTTTATGTGATCGATTTAGCAGGTAAATTAATATATATATATTTATTTATAATTATTGAAACTAGACACTATACTAAGTCATTTCCAATTTAAAAATTGTTCGACAGAACTCACGAGTTTTTTTGTAATACTTTCGATTCAGGATAAAATTTGAAATATTACTAGTGCATCTATACAAAAAAAATATGAAACGACTATTATGACCTTCAAACAGAAGTAGACATAAAAGAAGGTCAGAACTTTTTCATTTCAAAAGTGCATTACAAGCAAAAAAGAAAGGATAAATCTATGAGATGTATTTTGAGTTTTTAAAATCGAGTACTATCAATAAAGTTTCTCTCAACGGAATAGATAACTAACTCAAACAAATTGGGATCACAGAGAGGTCTTTCTCTTTGTTTCACCTGAAAGCATTGAGAATAACTAATATATATTTTGAATTCATTTGGGATTCAACTCAAGTCAATCAAGATTAGCATGTTTTATCTAAGGGGAAATCGATAAATCTGAATTATCGAAATTAATTGGAAGAATATTGTTCATCTAAAATTGATTTAACATACGAAATGTATTTGTTTAGATGATAATCATAGGAACAAGTATTGACTAGACTAACTCTGCTGATTTTCTAGGTTCTAATAAAATTCGTAGTATCAGCTATTTCCTTTTTGATATCTTTCAATCATAGGAAAAATATTAATCGATATATATATATTTCTCTTTAGAGAAGTACTTTGTGAAGATGCTCTACGATCGACTATAGGTGATAATCTTTTATGGAGTGCAAGTCGAGATACACAAGAAGGGGCACAAGGTAAATTTTTACTTTTAAATTTTCAGATTTATTTTATTTTTGTTTTTAATATTTCTCAGTTAGTCGTTTATTACACACAAATTCCTTTCCTTGTTTTTGTATTATTGCACATCGTGGTTCACAACAAACTGTTCAACTTAAACTTGACCGATACACTGGTAATAAAATTAATTTTTTAAACTTTTATATTCCTAAGATAAATTACTTTTATAGATGCTGATGAATTTTTGGCTGAAGTTATCAATGGTGTACAACATGCTGATCAAACATTGCAATTTAATCGGTAAGTTCATTATAAAATAAATTCATATTCATGTTTCTCTTTGATTAGTGAAAGACAAAATTCACGAAATTCTCGAGATCGTCTCTTAGAAGAACAAAATGCTGCTTATTTAGATTCAGTTCGTGCTGATGAAGAAAAAGTTTGTTATATTTTATGAAAAATAATTTTTTTTTTTAATTTTGTTTCTATTGAAAAGGCTAAACAACGTTTACAAGAAGAAAATGAACGCCGAAAATTAGAAGAAGATCAACGACGTTTACAAGAAGAACAACAAAAAAAACTTCAAGTAGTTTTTCAAACGAAAGCAAAAGGAACACATTCATTTATTTTGTTTTAGGAATTTGTTGATTTTCGTAATCGTATAAAGCAAGCCTTCCCTGATGAACCATCATCAACCGAACCAGATATAATTCAAGTATCAATACGTTTACCAGCTAGTGAACCTATTCGTCGTTGTTTTCGTCGTACTGATCCCGCCAAACTTTTATTTGAATTTGCTTGGACAAATTCAAATGTACCCGATCAATTTGAATTATTATGGGGTTATCCACGTAAACGTTATCAATACGAACAGATAGGTGATAAACTTATAAGTGATGTTATGACAGGCAAAACCGAAACGTGTTATCTTGAACAGATTGATGAAGAAAATAATTAAATACAATTTTTAAACCATCAACATTTTCTTTTATTTGTTTTTTTTATATGTATGTCTGACTTGTTTGAAAAAGAGTGAGAGCGAAAAACTAATGATATGAAATAAAAAACAAAAAAAAAATCAAAAAGATTAATTTCTATATATATAAGATAATGAATATGACATAAAACGACTAAACAATAAAACAAAAAGCAAAACAAATGTACATAAAATTTATTTTACAAATATATGTCGACGATTTCGTGGAGTCGAAGATTTTTCGGGAGAATATTGAGCATGTTGAGAACATGTACGACAACAATAATCAAAGTATACGTCACAAAAATTATGTCGAAGAACAAGTTCACAATTAGCAAATGTTGGTTGATCTTCACATGTTGGTTCAATATGAGTTTCTTAAGAAAAAATTTGATAAATATCTTCTCGATTGTTAAATAAATAATTACCTTTCACTTCTAAATATGCAACTTGTGTTACACTTTCTTTTTTATTTGTTGCATTGCATACATAAGGACCTAAAAAAATGATCATGAATACATTATTTTACTTTTAATATCGAGATAGAATTACCAGCATCTTCTCGTTTATATGGATGAATAATTAATGAACCATCATTTTGAATTGTTGTACGAGTTGAATTAACTAATGGGGTATTATCACGCATCCAAATAATACGTGGTAATGGATAACCTGTAGCACGACATTGAAGTTTAGCAGTAAAACCAAGTTGATATATTCGATTGATGGGATAAATATCAACTTTAATTGAATCTAAAAAAATAAATTATCTAGAAAGATATTTTTGTTGATTTATAGAAAGTTTTACCGAATATTTCAAGTTGAACATCTTTTATATCTTGTCCAAAATCATTTATTGCTCGACATGTATATAGACCTTGATCTTCAAGTGTTACTTTTCTTATTAATAATGATTGATCTGGTAATCGTTCAATTTTTCGTACTATAATACCGCCAGTCATCGCTTCATGTACTTGTAATTGTTGTCGTTCTTTATACCTATGAAATTCATTCAAATTCTATTCAAAAAACAATATAAATTTAATAATACAAACCAATATATAACTGGTGTTGGAAAACCTTGACGTAGAACACACGGAATTGTTACATTAGCATCGAATTGTGAGAATATATTTGTAATAGAGTTTTCAATTAATGGTTTAATACCTAATTAAATTAGAAAATATTTCTATCGATATTATTTCTTTTGACTAACCTCCATTTGCATTACCCATTGGATCAGTACTAACTAAAAACCAATAAATTCTTAATTAATAACTAAAAATTATTTTTATCTTACTTGGTTGACATTCGACTCTAGGAACAGGACATGGTGCTTGTATACATTGAACTTGTTCGGGAATAATAATACATTCATAACCTGATGGACATTGTTGTTTCTTAAATAAAAAGAAATTATTCGTTAGTTTTTTTTCTTCAATCTCATTTACTTGACAAGGTTCAAAACAACGACATATTTCACAACCATTTGAATCTCGTTCAAAACCAAATCGACATTGAATATTACAACGAATCATATTTGATCCACAACCTTGTTCATTAACTGATGATACATCGGCTACACATTTGTCAATACATTGTTTTTCTTCATCGAAGCGATTGTCATTTCCTCCGCAGCCACGATATAGAAATGAAGTACATTGTTTTGTTTGTTGATCATAGAAAAATTTCATTATTGGATTTATTGTTTCATTTTGAGCTGTTTTCGTATCATTACAAACATAACCTTGATCGACTTGTTGTAAACAAGTTGAATTTCCTATTCCAAAAAAAACAATGTTTATTATATAAAATAAAAATATTAAGAATTTACAAACCAGTTTTAATTAAACAACCTATTTGACATTCTTGTTCAGTTCCAAAACGATTCGCATTTCCACCACATGAACCATAATAAAAATTTTTACATTGTTGACTTGTGGAATCATAATACCACATAATTTTATATTGATCACATGTACCAGAATCTTTTTCTAACGTACAAATATCTAAAAAAATAAAATCTTAGTTTTTTGATTAAATTATCAAAAACAACAAAAACCTTTTTCTTTTGCTTCACATATATCTCGACAATTTTGTTCACTTTCAAATGAATTAGCATTACCATCTATGAATAGAAAAAAAAACAAAATAAAAATATTCATAAACAAATAAATATACTTACGACAACCAGTATATTGAAATGAATGACAATATTGATCGGTAGGATTAAAATGCCAACGAGAAATTTGTTGATCACAATTACCACGTACCATTGCAAGATTACAAATAGATTTAACATCATTAGTGACTAGTTTAAAAAAATATATTAAGAAAAAAAAATATTTAAATTTTTACATACATGTCTTCGATGTTTTTAATGATGAACATGATAAATCGCATTCTTCTTTTGTAGAAAATCGATTATGATTTCCTTTACAACCTAAACAAAAGATCTTCGTTTAACTGATATGCGCAATTAATTGATTTTTTACCAGAATATTGAAATAGTTTACATTCACGTTCATTGATATCAAAATACCAAGTCGGTCGACGTTCTTGACATGTACCAATAATTTTTGGTTGTAAACAAATATCTTTAAAACAAATAAAAATCAATATGAAATTCATAAATTTTCTATTTACCCTTTTGTCTTGGTTCTACACATGTATTTAAACAATCTTTTAATGTAACAAAATTATTTTTATTCTTTTTACAACCACCATATACAAATGATCGACATTGTCCTGTTACTGTATCATAATAAAATCGAGAATATTCTCCTTTACATGGTCCAACTTCAACAGATTGTGTACATTGATCTTTAATAAAAACAAAGATTTTGACATTCGACCTTTTTTTTTTGTCTTTTGTACTTACCGATAGTTTCTTTTACACATGTTGATTGACATTTTTCTACTGTTGGATAATTATTCGCATTTCCATTACAACCACCATAACGAAATTCTTGACATTCTTTTTTTTCTCGATCGTAATAATAACGAATACTAGCTGATTGACAGGGTCCCGTCATTTTTGGTAATAAACATACTTCTATAAAATTAAATAAAAAATTTTAATATGAAGAAAATAATTTTATTTATTTAAGTTATACCAATTCCTTTTGGACTAACACATGTTTCTTGACATTGTTGTTCGGTTTCAAAGCGATTTGCATTTCCTTCACAACTTCCATACCAAAATCGAATACATTTACCTTGCTGACGATCATATGCCCACATATTAACATATTTACTACAACTACCAGCATCTTTTTCCAATTCACAAATAGCTTTAAAAATTGAAAACAGAAAATATATTTCTATTATTTAGGTTAATATTTTATTTACTTTCTAAAATAGGTTTTGTTGGTATTGGTATACTATATGTCTCTGTTGTATTACATCCTTTAAAGTGTGGTCCCTAGAGAATATATGAAAACAAAGATAAAGTTATTTATACTATAACTGATATTCTAATTACTTGTGCTCGTGTTTCTCCATCTGGACAACATTCAAATTCACTATCAGCACATAAAGTAGATTGTAATGTAGTTGTAACAGTTTCAGTAGTAGTTTCAATAAATTCTGTTGTACTACTTTCGAATATTTCTGTCGTAAGCTTATCAAAAGGAACTGCAGTAGTATTAACAGTAGTAGTATTAGTATTGGTAGCAGTAGTGTTGGTAGCAGTAGTAGTAGTATCATCCGAAACAACTGTAGTAATATTATCCAAAATAACACTAGTAGCATTATCCAAATCTACGCTAGTATTATTAACAAGATCAGCTTGAGCAAAATTAGTTTCATTTGTATTTAAGGTTATATTTTCTGTTGAAGTTTCAAATAAAGTATCACTTGTTTCTGTTGTTATTGTCATATTATCATTCGCAGATGTACTAACAAAATCTGTTTCATTGAGAGATTCCATTGTACTATTTGAAATTGTCATATTATCATTACAACCTTCATTATTTGGGCCTAAGTAATGATAATACATATATATATAGTTAGATACATATGAGATAAAATTCATTTTTTAAAACTTTTACCAGTTCGTTCTGTCACTCCATCTGTACAACAACCATATTTCGATACTTCACAAGATGTAACAGAAACATATGTAGTTTGTTCTTCATGCTTTTTCGTTGAAAGTTTTATTAACATTGTTGTTAATTCATTTATTTCATTGAGAGTTGTATCCGATTCAGTTACATCATCATCATCAGTTGTTGCTAATGGAACGGATGTTGAAACTAAAGTCGAATTAATAAATGTTACAGATGTTGAATTATTATTATTGATGTTGCTGTTGGTAGTATTATTATTATTATTAATTAAAATATCATCATCCGAAACATTATCTATTGTTGCTAAACTACTTAAAGTTGTATTAAATTCTATGACTGTTTCATTGGAATGATAGTCAGTAATATTATCAGCATTAATCAATGGAACTATATAACATGAGATAATAATAAGAAAATAATAATAATAATATTGCCTGATCAAATTGTTTGTCATTATTGTGTCTGATCAGCAAATTGAAATGAATATTGAATGAATAGCTTTAGATAGGAAGACGATAGAATATATGAAGGTCAAGTTAGCCTTCTCACACAAGCTTAGAAGATATTTGTCTGTTGGTCGATGTCGAGACACTCTTCTGTCCAGTTAGTTGATGGAACGTGCCTTATCATTCTCTTTTCTCTCCCTCTCTCTCGCTCCATCTTCTTCTCTTTATTTGTATATTTATCTCTTCTATCCATTCACACAGAGTCGGTCAACAGTACTGATGCCGATTCAATTAGTGATTGTATTAGCCGTTCAACAGAACGAAGACTAGTGGCGGAATATACTCTTGTCTATATATTCACATCCATATTGAGTTGATGATCACTTAACCGCCGACATATTGGCACATACTCTTGAATAGAGTGATAGATGAAATACGCATAGCATATGTTCAAATGTTATTAATGTCTATAAAAAAAGAAAGAAAAGAAGAACATCAAAGATTGTTACAACTATTCCGACAAGAATACTTTTATTTGTAAATTAACTCATGTCTAGTGTCATCTTTAAATGAACATAAAAGATATAATACATGCAATCAAATAGATTCTTCAAGAAAAACTAACAGCTGTACTTAATTATTTTTTGTGTAGAGAATTGGTAATAAGATGTATAAAACAAATGTGAACTAATTTTGTTTTTCTATATATAAATATATAAATAGAAACCTTTCTAAATGTTCAGACTAGACACATTTAAAACAGATTGCATTAAGATGATTTTGATTTATCGTCCAATTGCACTGTCCAATTCTGTTTATTTGGATTTATAATTCTTTTTTTTTTGTGTAAACATACGCATAGACACACGCAGTCGGTTAATGTGTAATCGTTTTGTCCTATTACTTTGTGTCTGTCTAATGGATCATTTTGAGTGAAGCCTTTACTTTCTCCTTAGTTTTTTACATCTCATCATCATATTGCTTGCTTGTTTGTTTGGTAGATTAGTCACTGACACTCTTATTTTCATCCGATTGAGACTAAAAAATGATCTTCCTAAGAAAATCGATTTTTTTTCTTTTTCTTCTTCTTAGTTCTCATTACATTCAAATGAATACATATTAATATTCTAGACATCTTGTCGACGATCGATCACTCTCACACATCCGTTTTTTTTTCATCAGCATCATCACCATATATATATACGTATGAGGTAATCTTCTGTTAGATTTACTGATGATAATACTTTTTACCACTAGAGACTAGAAGATGATGATCTAACTATCTCTTGTTTTGTTATTCATTTCATCACTTCATCATTGGCATGGATTTTTGCTTTATCCAATTTTCTTTTTTTTTTTGCTCCACTGCAATCCGATCCTCATCTTCTTTATATGTATACACATTTAGTCAAAGATGTCTAGAATAATTCTAACTTAAATTGATCGGACAGATTTTAATCAACCGACATTCAATCTATCCTTTTCTTTCGTGTCTATGCAGTTCATTTGTTAAAAATAAACATTGAACATTATAGTTGAAGAATAGAGAGAACAACTCGTGATATACAAGAACAATTAAATAGGAGGAGAAGACTATAATCACTAGAATAGACAAACATATGAACTCTACATTTTTCTTGTCATTTTATTTGCATGTTTTCTTTTTCTGATAAAACTTGTCAATGTCAGATCAAATGAAAGATAAGTATAAATTATTTTAAAACGAACACCATAGATTCAATAGTCTTCTCTCCTATATAACGATGAACATAGAATCGTTTGTTTCCGTTTCTGTTCATCTGCTACTATAATGATTTATTTCCGTCTTCCATCATACGCTTCGAAATTTGATCTGACAAAGAAGAAGAAGAAAAAAAAGAGTTCTATTCAAACAAGCTAAATCTATGTAAGATCATGACATTTCTTTTTTTTTTGCTCTTGTATATCCAAATAGATAAGTTCATTGTATCGGTCAGTAATAATATAAAATCTAATCAATTATCAATGAACCTTTGTAAATATATATATATATCTTAAATTTTTATTTTTAATTTTAGAGATAAATCCAATGGGAAATAGTTCAATAAAATCATCAAATAAAACAAATAAGAAAAAAAACTTTTTCTGTTGTTGTACTTCATCATATTCATTATCTTCATTTTCAAATGATGAAAAATATTATCCAACATTTGATCGAATTTTATCGACTAATGAACAGTATTCAACATCGATGAATAAATCTGATAAAAAACATATATATTATTGTCAATCTATTGAAGATCTGCAGAAATCTCTTCATGGTACAACTAATATTAATCAATGGATTGATTCATTACCTATTCTTGGTACACCATCATTATATCATATTAAAACAAAACAAATTGAATGTCAATTAATAAATGATGATAATGAACAATTCGAACAGATTTTAATAACAAATAAATCAAATCGTGAATTTTTAAATTTAACAAAAAAATTTCATTTAAATTTTTATTTAAAAGATTATTTGAATCGTTTAAAAACTTCACAAATAAAACAAACATTTAAAAATCATTTTTCATCATCAAAAATTATTTATCCTTGTAACGATACCAGTCAAATTTTAGTTGATGATTTAAATTTACTTTTAATATCACCACCAGAATCAATTTTACCTACTATATTAATAAATTCAAATAGTTCATATAAAATTCATGAACAAATACGTTCAAAATGTTATTTTATACCTTTAACTAAATGCAAAATTGAACCAAATGATGATGAATATAAACAAAAATCTATTGAATTAGATCGAACTCATTGTGTTATTACATTAGATAATAATAAAACAATAAAAATGACTGAAACATCTACGCATATTGAATCGTTATTTATATTTGTATCAAATGATTTGTTTCAAACAGGTTTTATTCAGATTAATCAAGAAAAAATTACTAAAGAATTTTTACCATTTATTTCTTATTGTCCAGAAGAAAATGTTTCTTATTTATCATCGAATTTAATTCAACAATGGTTTAATACATTATTACTTGTTAATCAAACATGTGCTATTGTTAAACGATTTTTAATCGGAAATGGAAATCATATGACTTGTCTACTAAAAGAACAAATGAAACATTCATCAAATAAAGAAAAGTAAATATTTTTATTAATAATTTCGAAAAAAAATTCTATTTAAAATATTATAGTACATCATCTTCATCTCGAACTAATTTAACATTTGCTTCATTACGTCTTCCATCATGTACACAACAGACGGATCCTCAAGAAGAAACAATTATTGATGCATTTTCTCCAGTATTTTTATCTGATAATAAAAAAATATCCAAGAATACTATTCATATTGATTATGAACAATATTCATTTGGATTTGTTCTGTGTCGTTGGCCAAAAATTTTAATTGATAATTATTATACAAATCCTAATCGTTATTCAAAACGTCAATGGCCATCAAAATCTCATATGAATATATTAATAAATAAATCATTATTACTCATACCAAATGAACATACACATAAATGGGAAATTAATTTTGATTTAATTGAAGAAAATTTATTTGAATTAATGAATGAATCAACATTATTTTTTTATATTCTTTGTCAACAGCTATTCTCGTCAACATATTCTACACGTATAATAATAAAACATTGTTTTTTAAATTATTTAGAAAAATATGGTTTACCATTTTCAAAGTAGAGTTGATTGATTTATTTTTGTTTTTCATTAGAATTTCTTTGTTTAGTAATCAAAATAATATTTTAAGTTTAATAACAAAATTTCTCAATGATTTATCTCAACAAATCAATAAAAAATTTATTTCGAATTATTTTAATCATGAAATAAATCTTTTAAATTCAAATGAAAATTATAATCAATGGTTTAATTATATAAATAAATGTTTTCATGATCATATCTATTTAACAGCATCACCATCATTATTAATACCTACATCAAATCGTTCAATAATTATTGAATTTTTATTTGATTTCTATCGAACATTTCATTTAAAACGTTCCGAATTTTATTTAAACGATAAAATACTTTTAGATTTACATAAACAATTATGTGAAAATTTATCAAATGATTTCTTAAATAATAAACAAATTCTTGATAATATACAAATGAATTTAACATATGAATTTGAAACAAATGCTGAATTAATACATACTTGTTTAAATCAAATACGTAAAGCACAAACATCATTAATATTTCATTATACATGGACAATTTTTATACAATATATACATACTTATTATAATGTTTTATGGAATATTGATTGATATGAATTACCTTTTTTCTGTCTTCATCGGTGATTTTCGATTTGACTTGTATTTTTTTTAATTTTTTATGAAGTATTGGAAAAAAATTATGTATTGTATGATATGATTTTTGTTTTGTTCACCAGTTTTTTTTTATAGGAAATAAATTCATTTCAATTATATCTATCGAAATCTTATTTTTAATTCAATGATAAATAAAAGATTCATGTATTTCGCTGCTAATACTTATGTCAATATTGAAACATTGAAGGATATCTTGAAGATGATATGAATATTTTTATACTTATGTTTACTTTCATACGCTGAAGAAACTGTATTACTTGCTGCGTACAAACTGATTTATAAGTGACATATCGACGATACTATAGAGTTTGTCTTTACTATGAGTAAGAAAAAATTATACGTAAATCTTAAATAATACTCATATAGACACTGATGAAACATGCATTTTTTGCTATTATTCATTTTTTTTTATTTGTGCAAATAATTCGATCCCTTTCAGAGCTTATTCATCATACAATATAATACCACACGGCATTTTATTTAGTCAACGTTTTTTTGCCTTATCTTTTTCTATATGTCAAACACAAATATTGATATCCGTATATCGCATTCACAGATTTGATAAACATGTTAATCAGTATTTAACTATTTATCAGTATAAAAATCAAGAAATTTTTTAGAATTTATTCTCATAAATAAAGACTAACATATAAGAATGTTGATATCATCATCGATAATTCTTTTATTCTTTTTATCTACTCATATTCATTTAATATCATCATTTTCTATACATGATAAAATTTTCCTACCGTTAGATACACGTTTATTACCAACTCGTACGTTACCGTGCAATGCAAGTTGTGTAGACTGTACCAGTAAACCATTTGTCTACAATACGTCTTGTTATATTGGTGGTGAATGTTATGTAGAAAATCAGACAAGATCAAATGGAAATGTTTCATGTTTACAATGTCAACCACATAAGATTCAAACACAATGGAGTTTCAATTCAAAATGTTCAGCCGATAATTTATGTTTTAATCCAGAATTTATGTCACAACATATTTGCTCTGAAGCGGTTATTGAAGGTTTTTATTTGAATCATGAAGAAGCTACTATTGTATTCTATAATTTTAATGAATGTGGTCAAAATCTAAAACAATGTCAACCAGGTTTTTTTCTACAAAATAATACCAATAGGCCTTTTTCTTGTTGTCCTGGTTATTTTTGTCCCGATGGACAAAAATGTATGATTCCTTGTCGAGAAGGTTCGTATTGTCCATCACCATTGGAAGCTGTAAATGGAACTTGTAGAACTGGAGTCAAATGTCCAGAATATAAACCAAACGACTATGGTGAATATGGATGTGGTGGATCAACATTCGAAGGTTTCTGTCCAGCTGATTCATATTGTCCAGATGCAACTTCAAGTATTCCATGTCCACAAGATACAAAATATTGTCCAACTGGTACACAAAAGCCATTATCATGTCCATTGGGTTTTGTCTGTCTAGATGGGCGTGCTCGACGACAACGTATCATTGCAATTGTTATTAGTATTTTTTTTGTTATTATTATTGTTTATATATTGATTACTATTCTTTTTCAATGGCTTATTTTAAAGAAGAAAGTATTGGGAGAACATAAATACGTTAATCCACCAGGTATCAGTAATTATTTCAAAAAACAGCATATACCAGATGATTCAATATCACAATTTCAACTTAATATTCATCTTTATCAAGCAAAATTACGTAATGTAACTCGTTTTGATCCAAAACAAAATCAAGGATTTACAGGTCAAATTAAAGCTGGAAGATTAACAGCATTAATGGGTGGTTCTGGATGTGGTAAAAGTAGTCTTTTAGAAACAATATATGGTCGACGAAGATTACTTAACGATGGTTATATTAAATTTGCTCAACATGAACCATTATCTAACCGATTGACTGATTATATCGGTTATGTACCTCAAGCAGATATTATGCATAATGATCTAACCGTTTTCGAAACTGTTTATTATTCTGCTAGAACACGACGTCTTAATGATTCCAAAAAATTGATTATTAACGATGTATGTTTTGTTCTTCAAAGATTAGGTTTACAACATATGCACAATAGTATGACAAGAACTTTATCAGGAGGTAGGAAACGATAACAGTTCATATAAGTTTTATCTCAAAAACTATTGATCTAAAATCAGAAAGGTTGAGAGAAAAATATATTTTTTTTGTTTAAGGTCAAAGAAAACGTGTGAATGTCGCAATTGAAATAGTTGCTTGTCCAAGAGTTCTTCTTCTTGATGAACCCACATCAGGTTTAGATACCGTGTCATGCGATGATTTATTTGATTTATTAGGATTAATTAAAAATAATCGATCTGGTTCAGTTACTATTATCATGGTTATACATCAACCAAGTCAAGAATTATTTGAAAAAATCGATGATATTTTCTTTCTAACACCATTATGTTGTTTAGCTTATCAAGGTTCACGTAAAGAAGCAAAACAACATTTAAAAAATAAAATATTCTCATCAAATATTCATGAATGTCCGGAATCAAGACATAATGATTGTGATACATGTTTTATTATGTTAACAAAAGCACAAAATCATATTGATAATCATAAATTAAATATCGAAGATACGACTCAATCACTTAAAACATTCCCATGGTATAAACGAGTATGTTTACCATTTATTTATGTTATATCACGTTGTATACGACAAATGTTTATACGTGGTGCAATTGCTGAAAGTGCTTATTTAGTATCCTATTTTTTACTTGGTGCATGTATCGGTTATCTATTTGAAAATGCTCAACAAAGTACATGTAGCATTGAAATATTATCAACAATTTATTTTCTTATTAGTCTTTCATTTGGAATATTAACATGTATATCAAGTCAACGTTTATTTGGTGTTGAAATTGTTGATAAAACTTTTGAACGTGAAAGTCGAAATTATTTTCATCCATTTCAATATTGGTTAGCTAAAAGTTTAGTTGATATTATTCGAATGATATTATATCCATTATTATTTTTAAGTATGCTTTATATTGAAATTGTACCACGTGGACAATTTTCATATTATTTTGGTATAATGATACTTCTTTCATTTGTTTGTTCAGCTATTGGACAATTAACTTCGGTTGTATTTAGAAAAACAGAACATGCGTATTTAGCTGGTACAATTGTTGCATTATTATCTTGTCTTTTATCTGGATTTAGTCCAAGAAAAAGTGAATTAGGACGTGGAGGTTTTATTGTTACTTTGTCTTTTTCACGACATATTCAAAATTTATTATTTCGTCATGAAACATCACTTTATATACAATCAAATGGAACTAATCCACATGTATGGTCTACGTCAGTGGAAGCAATGAGACAGTATTATTCATTTAGTGATGATGAAAATCCATATTTATGGATTTTTCTTATTGGATTTACTCTACGTTTACTTACATTTTTCTTTCTCTATAAAAAATCGGAATATCGATCAAAAATTCGATTTGGTATAACGCATATTGGTTCTGTTTTAAAAAATATTATTTCTTGTAAACCATGTCGTCGAAAAAAGAAGGAAGAAGAAGAAATAATTCGATTTCAATTTTAACAGATGATTGGAACTAATGAAAACTCAATCTCGCTGATATTTATTTTTTTGTAATAAATTGCTTCTATCTTCTCTTGTTCTGTTTAATAGTTACTCATATTTTTTCAGTTAATATTTTTGAATGAAATTTAAAATTTTAATTATTGAATAACAAGACTTAATATAATAAGCACAAGTATATTATCATCTTTATTTTAATTGTATTAATCAAATGAAAAACATACTAATGATTTGTAATGATAAAAAAAAAGGAAAATGAATATAACGAGGAGAAAAAGAAAGAAAGACAGTAGAATTAGATAAAAAGTTTAATAAAAAAAAAAGGAATGATATTTTCTCCATCATTTATAATGATACGTGTTCAATTTCCTTTTTTTCTTTGTTTCTGTTCTTAATTAATTACCATATTGAGGTATTGTTTGATATTGTACATTTTGTACAAAACCATTACCTTGTTGACCTTGTTGTTCAAAACCTTGTTGATGATCTACTAGAACATATTTATAGGTCGTCTGTTGCTTTGTGAAATTAACTTATCACTCACCAGCATATTGTTGTCCTTCAACAGCACTTTCATGAGAATAACCAGTTTGTTGATATGCATATGCATTCTGTTGTTCACCAGGCATTTGACCACCTGCATTTCCATAGGATGCATATTGAACATTTTCTTGCATAAATCCAGGATGTCCAGCAACAGGCAATGAACCATCTGATGCACTAGCAAGAAGACCTTGACCACCAGCAACTTCATAACCATTTACTTGTGCACTAGTACCAGCTAATAATGCTGGATCGATTTGATCAGGATTTGCACCTGCTGTCTATAAAACGAACAAAACAAAAAAGAAAGAAGATGAATAATAAATCTTATTCAATTTATTTTGTTTTACATATTCTGGTCCAAGATTCGGTGTAGGTAATCCTTTAATAAAATCTGGTAAACCTTGTGTAGGTCGTAATTGTGAGCCATATTGTTGTACATAAGTATTTGGATCAGCTTTAATAATACCCAAATTACGAAATTCTTTGACGACACGAGCTTGTGTACCTTCCCATTGAATAATAAGATTTTTTTGTGGTGCTGGTGGTTGAACTGGTGGTGCTTTTTGATAAATAACACGTCTTTTTTGTTGTTTATATGGAAGCCAACGTTCAACAATAATACTACAAAATATGTTTTGTTTTAATTTTGTTTTTAATAGATTAAAAAGTAATTAACTAACCTTTGAGGTTTAGGTGGTAATGGTGGCATTCGTTCGATAATAACACGCCGTGGTGGTGGTGGAGGAGGTGGTAAAGGTTTCGTAATTAATTTTGGAGCAAGTTGAGCTGGTGGTTGTGGTGGACGTTCACGAATAATAAGTGGTGGTGGCGTAGCAGGTCTAGGTGGTCGTTGTCGAATAACAATAGGTGGAGCAGCAGGTAAAGCTGGATTTCGTACCTTAAAAAATGAAATATTTTTTTGTTGTTTAATTTTAAATTTTTTTATCTAACCTCTTTAATAATTAAAGGACCAGGTGGTGGTGGTGTTGGTGGACGTAAATATCGTACAGCAACTTCTTGTTTATATGTTACAGCATCGTTTGCATGTTTACGAATAATTTGTGGATTAGGATCAAAATTAATTTTATAACCATTTGGTCCTTGTTGTTGTGCAAGTTGACCAGCAGCACCTGTATATTGTTGCATAATACCAGCATTGTTTTGATCAGCAAAACCAGGTTGACCATAATTAACTTCTTGACCCTGATTTAAAGGTACTTGTTGTTCACCATTTTCTGGTAGTTGTTGTTCAGCACCATTTCCTGCATTATAGAATTGACCACCTGGACTATGTACTCGAGCTTGATAAGCATATTGATGTTGAGTAAATTGTTGATCGAGATTTCTTGGTGATGCTGATGTTGGATATGACGAAGAAACAGTGTCAGCCATAGTTAGTTAGTTAGAGTTCGAACTTCTTTTCTTTTTTTTTTTTGTTACCTATTTATTGATCAAATTAATACGAATATTTGTACGTACAGGTATAGTTTGTGTCACAAGTTCAATAAATAGAAAGATAGAAGGATGGCCATCAAGAGGAAGAGAAAAAAATGAGAGAATGACTCTCTATTCAATGTATTTTGTGTGATTACTGATGCGCAACTCGAGCTTCATCGGTCACGATTACTGCATGGATATTTTCTTTTATTCTTTTACTATCTTTTTTACTTTCGTCTTGCTTGACCTACTTTCGCAATGAACAAGCGAGCAAACGTATATATACGAACTTCTCAGTGAATACGCTTAGTTCACCATCCATCCATCAATCACTTTTAGGCGCTAATCGCTCGAACATATAACTTATTTTACCATTGATGATGACATAAACAGTATATGATGGATAGGAAATACCTTCCCGCTTTCTTCATTTCTTTCCTAGTCATAAATGCATCTTTTATCGGTCACTATTTTAAGATATATATGAATAAACAGATTATTTGATGATCTAATTTGATTCATATGATTTTTTTTTTGCATAAAAGGAAATGATAGAAAGCGATGATCTTTATATAAATAAGATGAAGAAGAAGAAAAACAGGATCGACACATATAAATGAACATTTTATATGTGAGAATAAAATGATGATAAAAATAAAAATAACTGTTTGATATTGATCGGTTTCTTTTTCTTTTCTTTTTTTTTATTCGAGGATTCTCTTTCACTTTTTTTTCTCCTTTTTTTCGTTCAATGTAACGATCTCATTACATATCTAATAACATTTATTGACCAAAATATGAAATGCGTAATGGAAATGGTTGTTGTTGCTTTTGTTGTTGTTGTTGTTGTTGTTGTTGTTGAGCTTGCTTAGATTGCTGTTTTTGTTGTTGTTGCTGTTGTTTCCATGCTGGTACATCTTTAAGTGAACGATACTTAGTGAGAGGTTCACAAAGTTTACTCTTATTATTTCGATTTGGTCGACAAAATGATTTTGGTAAACTACGAAATCGAAAATGAACATAACAACAATTGTTTTCACCACAATCTTCATGAAATTGACAATTATCCCATTCTAAATAAATAAATAATATTTTTTTAATAATTTTTCTTCTACATGATACAATCAATTTACTACTAGTTCAATCAGATTACAACACGTATATTAAACTGTTTTTTTTTCTAGCAAAGTTTGTTAGCCTTGATATAATGAAAAAAAGGGTATCTTTTGATTATATCTAAAGTATTCTTTTTTCTAATACATTCAAATTTGATTACACAGAAATATATTCGATTGATTTTTGTTTTGATTATTAATAAAAAATAGCGCATAGAAGTGTACAAGGATAGGCTTAACGCTAACAATAGCATTAATCAATTCAATTTTTAATTCTTTTATAATATAAGCGTGAGTCTTATGTCATTATTATTTAATACTAAATGATTACACTTGCGTGACTCTTTGAAGAGGTTTGCTTTGAAAGTATAAAAATATGTTCCTATAAATTACCCTTTTTATTTCTCGGCTGTATTTCTGATTGTTTTGTACCATATGCATTATAAAATGGAAATGGTGGCATATTTATACCATATGGATATAGATAATTTTGTGGATTATAATATGGAGGAATAATAAAATCATCTGAATAACGTTTCATTCGTTTGTCAAATGGTAAACAAAGATTTTGTTCTAAGTATAAAATAAATACTCTTTTTTTTTTGTAAAGAAAATAATAATCTTAACATACTTGAAATAGAATAACAAATTAAATTCGAACAACAATCAGTATTTTGTTGACATTTATCACCTATAGTTTGACATTGATTTTCTGAATAAAAATTATTTAATGGTTCAATATTTATTGTTGCCATAGAAAATTTTGATATGAATATAAGTATACAAGATATGATGAGAAACCACATGATAAGAACTAAGAAGAAGACAATGGATATGATGATTTATGGATTAAGACAATTAATAATGAAAGTAATACAAATAAGATAGTGACTCTTGTATTCCAATGATAGTAATTGAATACTATATAGAGAGAAAAAAAAGAAATAAATAACAATTGCAAGAGATTACGGGAAATGTAGATGAAGCTTTTCTTTTCTTTCACGCATACACTTACATCCGCCTACGAAATGATAATGAGAAAACATTCAATCTTTTTTTTCCTTCTAACTCTTTTTTATCTATACGTGGGTGTTGAATGATTGTAGACTTAATAAAATTGTAAATATAAAAATCTATTGTCAATTATTAGTTTTAAGTATTTGTATTTTCACGAAAGAAAAAACATTTTTATATTTGAACATACAATCGGAATTGAAGAAAAACAAACGTTTTTATTATTATTATTCAATTTAAAATTAATATGTATATGCAATAAGCGATTGAAACTAAGATATATGATAGAAAACATTGTTCAAGTTAATTAATTTAATATTTCAGTGAACAAGAAATAAATACGCCTACATAAATCAACATACTTAACAATAAGTACACATAGTAAAGAATATAGTTTGTCTTGTTTTCTATGATTCTCGACATTATAGTCTTTCGTGTTTATCAATGCATGATTTAGAGAAAACTAATAGAATATGTCATAAGGGAGTTCTTCTCGGTCGTCGTTTGTCAACGATAAAAAACAAGAAAAAGCAAACGACCGAAGTGTGAAGAGAATTTGTATATTCTTATAATAAATTAAATTATATATCGAAATCAAACTATTGAATAGATTGTACGATGAATCGAAATACTTCACCTTTATTATAGTCATTTTATTCAAATAATTACACATAGTTATGTTGATTTCTACGACAAACCGGAAGTTCTATTACGATAGGAAAGATAGAGAATAGTCTATTTTTCCTGTTAGAGAATCAAAATATAAATAGAGATAGTATTTAATCTTCATACTTTTCTTTTAACATGGAATGACATGTGATAATGAGTATATAAGAATATCTTTTTTTTTCACATCTCATTATTTTTTAAATACAAAGCGAAGCGAAATTAAAAAAAATTTTCTTCTATCATATAAAATATATTAAATGTCATGAGCAGTTTGTCTGTTTATAAGACATACAAATTTATTCAAGCAAACGTTTTCTTTTCAATATTTCATGTTTCTTTTAATGAACGTATAAAGAAAAGTTCTATTCATGATCAATAATCTTTGCTATGAAAAATTAATGTATAATAATAATAATTGCATTTGTTATTAAAACAAAAAAAAGGAGAAAGTATTTTTAGAATAAGAAATAAATTTATGGGTTTTTTTATACTATAAAAATCATATTGTAGAAAATGATTAAAAACTGTTTTTTTTTTTTCAAAATATATTTTATCTCAATAGTAGAAAGAAAAAAGAAACATATGTCTCGTCGTTTCGAAAATTATTCTTATTGATCATTGTCATATGTGTTATTTAAATTATACACAATTATAGGCGAGAGTAAGCGAAGAAAGAAGAATCGAAAGACAACGATGACACACACATATATACATCTATATACTCTCAATATTGTTACAATCCGTCGCTCTTCCTTAATAGGTTGCGTAAACGCTGACACACACACTTGCACTACCTGTCGTCCTCATGTCTATTGACATAAAACAATGCGCAAGAAATTATGTAAAAATGGTCGTCAATCGTTATCGTCGTCGTCTTCGGACGCATAAGGTACATTGGTTAGTCTGGCCACGCTCGTCGAAGCTAATCAAACTGACGAAAAAAGAAGAAAAAAGAGAGGCGGATGTTTGTCTACAAAATGCCAGAAATCAGGTTTGTTATATTATATATGTGTGTGTGTGATGCAATGTATATACACTCTTCCTTTTCTTATTGTAGTACATGCAAGCAGATTGAAGGATGTAATAATTTATAATATATTGATCATTCATTACAACTTCTTATTTCATTCATGAATTCATATATTATAGAAAAACAAATTCCGTATGTTAAGAATAATAATAATTATTTTATTTTATATTTAAAAACTTTAGATCAAATTCAATTGAATCAACTAAACTCCTTCATATATGTAGTCAATGTACACGAACATTTAAAGATATAAATAATTTTCGTGAACATCTTTTTCAAGAACATGGTGAACTTGGTGTTAATGTTCGACAATGTCATCTATGTTCATATGCTACTCTATTAAAATCCAAATATGATTGTCATATAGTAAAATCTATACCAAAAATTTCGTTTTTTAATATTTTCTTTCTAGAGATGTCATTTAAATAATCGAGTGATTCGATGTCAAAAATGCAATTATTCAACAATTAATATCAGGTTTGTAAAATAAGAATCTTTTGATTAAGTATATACTCTACTATAATAATAATACTAATCCTTCTATGAGTTTTAATTAGAAAATTCTATTTTAGTTTTCTTAATCGTTTTAATGATTATAGAATCTATTTTTATC